CAGCCTCCGCTCGCCGGGCTCACCGCATCGATCCTCACGCCAAAGGCATCGGACTCGGGAGCTGGGTGGACCCAGGACTTACCTTCGAAGAGCCGAAGCGGCGCTGCTGATGTTCCCAAACCTCTTCTGCAAATCCTCATGGCACCTTCTCGTCAGTCCCCAGCAGCTCTGCAGGGTGCCCAGTTTTGCGTGTTTTCATGGGAGTAGGCTCCGGGGGGGAAAACTTCACAGTGACGGATTCTGAGGCAAAATTTCACCGGAGCCACAGTGAATCATAGAATCATAGAACACAGTTAAATATAAATCATAGAACACAGTTACAGGTTTTAAAGGAGAGCGTGACTTGCCCGTGCTCTGCGTGAGGAACCTCAGTGCCTTCGGCGGTTTAAAACAGTCATAGAATCATGGAATGGTTTGGGTTGGAAGGGCCCTCAAAGATCATCTAGTTCCAGCCCTCCTGCCACGGGCTCCTTTTGCTCTCAGAACAGCAGTTTTGCTCTCCTAAACGGCTCCTTTCGCTCTCAGAAATGGTGAACGTTTGAAAATTGCACCGATGGCGACTCCGATGAATGTTCCTGTTGGCTGTTCTCGCGTTGGCCCGTCCCAAGGACAGAACCCTCCATCTCTTGGTGGCTTAAACCGGGGCCGTGTGGGACCCCGGGGCAGAGCTGGGGGTGCAGGGGGTGAGCAGCCACCAGCCATGGCCCTGCTTTAACCCGCCAAGGGACGGCCCAGGTCGTTAGTGGGGAGCCGGTTTGTTTTGCTCCCACGTGCCGGACACAGAAGACAAATGTCATACGCAGCGCGGTCAGTGGAGATCTCAAAGTCGGTAGCAGAAATTAATGCTTCGGCTCAGTTTTAATGGAAAACAGATCCTGGCCAATTAACTCCTGGAAGGAGTTTTATGTAGCAATTGCATAACATTCTCATTAAAAACGTCTCAGCAAATCACGCAGTAAGAGGCTTACAAAGTGAATAGATTTCCAAACACATCTGTTAATTGATTTAAAATATTAAACAGTTTTGAGCTAAGGGTCTGTCTGGATCCCAGCAGAAGTTGTCCTGCTGGGCGAGTGCTGCCGGTTATCGGGAGAGGAACAGGAAATCACTGATGAAAATGGTGTTTTTCCCCAGGCAGAACCCGCTGCCGGGTCGTGCCACGTTCACAGAACCATAGAATCACAGAAGGGTTTGGGTTGGAA